CAGGGGTAGTGTCACTATTACGAAGGATTCTTCGCTTCAAGCGCCTGTCTGGCTGATGCACGAGGACATCCCAGTTCTTCAAGATCACGCGAATCGAGTCGCGGAGCAAGCCGGCGGTATCCTCACGCAGCAGGCGGAACTGGGTATCGAGAAGCCGGCGGATACCTGTCTCATGTTGATCCAATGTATCGAAGACCGGGTCTCTCGCTGGGAGAAACTCAGCTCTCTCGAGAGAATAGATCTCAGATATCGTTGGGAGTATGCGGATGTTTGGGATGGAGGCGTGATCATTGTCGTGTCGAGGCCCATCCGCAGACAGATCGCCTGGTAGGTCAACTTGAAAGTCTTTGGCCTTCGGTAGCATGTGTTGAGCATTGTGATGAAAAGAGATAACTGGGGAGCGGTTGAGCGACTCTCCCATGGACAATACGTCTTTCAGCTTGATGATGTTGTCATGAACCCCCCTCAAGTTATGAGAAGCAACGCCGCTGAAGATATCTTCCTCATTGTAACAGTTGCAAAGACTCTCAACGATACGCTTGAAAGCAGTCTGAATTGCAGCTTCTTGGTTCAAGGTCAAGGTTGTAAGAAAAGCTTTTGCAACAAGCAGCAGTGTTTCTTCGGAATCAGGCACGTCATTGTTCAATGGCCTCTCATTTGCAGTGCTTGGTTCAGAGCTCACACGCAGAACGTGTTCTGCCACATGAGTAAAGAATTTGACAGCACGACGGCCACCTGGTCCATAGATCACGTTGTATATTGTGCCTACTTGGCGTTCGAGCGCAAGGGATGACAAAACTCTATCATTCGTGATGAGCCGAAGAAAGAGCACGCCGTGAACGTGAAACATCAGACCAAGGACACTATATGTCTTGGCGAGCTCTGTCTCAATTATTTGTCGAACAACAGCAAGTCCTTCTTCTGTCGCAAGACTGGTGATGAAATCCTTACGTTCATCTGAGCTTCGCTCGATCGTGAACAGCCCCCTCTCAAGAATGTCTTTGATCTGTGGCGCTGTAAAGTGTTCCTTGGTCTGTGGAGGTAGGATTCGACTAGTTATCTGGAGTCTAGAACTTGTAGAAGGTCTAAGGCATTAGCAGAAAGACTTGAAGTGCAGCACTGTCATTCTCGTACCTGGTCTCAATCGGTGCGGCTGGGAGAATTTGAGCATTTCCGCGCTGCACTCTTCTCACCATAAGTCTTGGTCCACGATGATGGTTTCCACGATTAGGGTCCTCGTGATGAGGTCCTGTATCTTGATTCTCGGTTCTCTGTGTGCCAGGAGCCTGATTTGGAGGGACATGATGTCGACCGCGATGAGCTCTACCTGATCCCATGGGTCTCGCAGGACCTGGTGGCGGTTGGCCAGTCCCAGCCATGTTACAGGAAGTTGTGATGCTTCCTTACTCTTTGAAACTCTGAAAGAAAGAAGTTTAAGTCTGAACTCAGATGATGTTTGGAGAAAAGAATTTGTGTGGGTTTAAACACAGAATGGATGGGGAGATCAAAATGAACAAACAACAGAGGCGGAAGGTATAGTCAAACAGGGAGGTAGGTTGTTTGAATCGTTATGAAAGGATTAGGCAGAAGCAACATGAAATCTTCGATGATTTTTCACGCGGGGTCACCTATGTTCAGTTCCTGACTTTATCCTGATCATACACATTAGGGCAGATTCACTGAGTACCTGCGCACGGACCGCTTTGATATACAAGAAAGTGGGTCCAGGGCTGACAAGGCGCTGAGGCGGTCGTGAATGGCAGTTACATAGTGCAAAAACACCAAAGGTCAAACTAAATATATGCTCATGGTTTAGTAGACTGTCAATAAATGCGTGTTACTAAGACAAGAGAACAATGTCATAATGAGTGGGTCAAGTACTATAGCTCCTTACGCAGAAGCAACACAAAGAGTCTCCCATTGCTGTCATCTGCAATGGCCATACACTCAGCGTTGAACTGAAACAAACACATGTGTCGAACTACCTCTTCGATCTACCCAGACAAGACTCGGTAGTGACCTCACTTATCGTGCGCAACAGGGCAGTTTGACTGTGATGTGAAGGCATGTAGACCCAGCAATGAGGTAGCCCGAACAGGGGTCTCATGGATAGCCTGGAACGATCTCAACAGCGGTATACGAACTTGCCAGGGCGAGATGGGGTGTCTCATCAGATGAGAAAACATTGCATCAAGCATCTATGCTATTTTGATGTGCAGTGTCGTAGTAGATAAGTTTCCCATTTCTCTAGAGGCCAGTAAGCATTGAGTCAAGATTGAACAATGATTGCAGGCATCTTTGCCATGATCTTCAGTGTTCATCACATACCTTGTTAGCATATTCATTCGTGTCTTGATATCGCTCTTCTGTTTCGAACTACGCACATTTTGTACGAAACCTAGCAGGTTCGTCTTTGAGGATGCTGCGAAGTGACCTCTTAAGTGTGGCGATCATGGTCATATCAATGCGTACTGCCTCTTAGGGCAAACATGGCTGTATGCCTCTCAGCTCAGCGGAAGATTCAGGACGACAAGCCTATCCGTCTCATCCAATATTCTATTGCCATAATAGGCGCAGCAGAAGCGTATGTTATTTGTTACACAAGCAAAGGCTAGACATGTAGCAACTATGCTCACGCAGCTCACGTTTCATTGAGTCTCAGACCCGTCGATGGTCAAACACTTTTCGAACTGCGCATATGCCGATTGCAGTATAACGAGGTCTTCAGTTGGAAGTTGGAGCAGTTGGAGATTGTTTGCGAGATAAATTTTTTGACTGTCGATCTAATCGGGTTGAAACACCGAATCTTGAACTCAAAATATGGAACCCGTGGGGTGCAGGGGAAGTGGCCCGGCCAGGCTCGTCGATCATGATAAACATAGATTCGAACAGACTATTTCAGAAGTCGAACGAGGTGAGAATTGGGTTGGTGATCCGGTGGCTCCTCGAAACTTACTTATTAGTCAAAACATCTTTTCTGGGGGTGCGATTTATATTCGGCGACAGAGATTTGGTGGTTTGGCATCTGCGTTCGTAGCATCCGCAGCAAAGCTTATCTCTGTTCCAACCCCGTTGAGATTCAGAGATCGGGATCACTAAGCTTGTTTCATCATATGGCTACATTGCCTCGATTTGGACAAGTATCTTGGAGCTTTTTAGGATAAATGATGAAAAGGAAATTTTACCTGACGCAGGAGACGTGGAGAGCGGGCACCAGAAATTGTATGTGGCATAGAAAGCTTGCAATAAAGACGGGGGCTCATAAGTCTCCATAGGTGCAAGAACAGAAGCCGGGCTCTCACGGAACTTCGGGAAGAAATATCATACCGTTAGGAAGGTAGAGTACGTAGTACTTGGGGCCGTTAGAAGAAGTGCTTAAGAATGCCCACTACGATTATGCAAATGTAGCTAGGCTGTACCTGGATGTACTGTACATATTGTTTGTAAAGATTACCAAAGCAGCAAGAATAGGAAGCAGGGGCCTGGAGTGCACATGACACCTCTGGGGTGCTGCCATAGCTCAGCAAGTGGTCGAGTCTCATTCCAAAGCTCCATAGTGCCAAATGGTAAGATAAATTGACTCATGTGGCCAGATGTCACGTCATGCTCGCCACCTGGTTTAAGGAATGCATTGGCTGTGCCGAAATAAGCAACATTTGGCCATCCCGTCAAGCATGTCCACTCATGTTATGATGCAGAAAAGGAGTCGTTTTTTTATTCAGGGATCCAACGCAAACATGTGCGTCCCAAGCATCAATTTGTGTAGCGTGTAAGTGTACATGAGGCAAGGTGAGACAACAACGTCTGCAGACGAACGCCTTGTACAGAAGGTTGTGAAAAATTCTGACTCTCTGCCCAGATTAGCGAGTGTGGTTCGGAGGTAGTGGACGAAGAGTAGACAGAGCAGTACATGGACGGAGAGTCTAAGCTACCGAGAATCCCTAGTCTTTCTTGGACCCGTGCGGGGTTTTTGATACCTGGAGCTAAAGTAAGTAGGCCCGCATTGCACCTCCATAGTCTGAGCCAAGTGAAGTGAGCAGAATACTACAGAAACAGACACTGCATTCAGATTCTCCTGCATTCTCCTGCCCAGTGGCAAAGTCGGGCCTTCACTGCTTCCGGCCCTGCAGATCTCCAGGTCGGTCTTCTTTTCCACTCTTTCGCCGCCCTTTTTCACTCAGGAGTAAGATGGACCTTTGGACGCAATAATCAGGCAAAAGCAAAGAGATGTTTGGGAGGGATGGATGGGAATCTGTCCAGTCTCCATCCGTGGCTCGGCCGTACTGCCGAATTGAGGGAAAGAAGCGGAAGATCCCTGGTTGAATCCACCCAACGGAAAGCCCCGAATTTGAGCCAGGGAAGGTGCGGGGTAACTTTAGTCCTGGACTCTATTCCTCATACGGAGCACCTCACTTTGCACTACCATCATTCCTGGCATTGATGGTGTCTTACTCTTGACTTCATCAACTAACTTACCCACTCTGAGACCCTGAGCGAAATTTCTGCGCCATGCACCACCGTATCACTCGCTCCGTCTTTAGGTCGGTCCTCTTAGCCAATGCAACACAAATACACAAATGAGAATCCGGGGGTGGATCCCCAGCTGGGTCAACACTGGTGGCCGCTAATTGTTGCTTCGTCCACCATTGAACTCAAATCAATTGCTGCTCACAACTTGAATGCTACCCACTTTGAAGTAGCTGGGGTCCTACTCCAGCCTCCGAGCAGTACGCGATTCTCTATCCCCAATCCTTGAGCTGTCTAACCTCCGAATACAGATCGCCGCTGCCGCCATCTTCCGCCAGCCAGACACCCTAGAAAGAGGCAATCAAGATTGTAGCCACTTCGCAGAACGGGACATGGGCCTGTCATCAAATCATTGGTCCAGAACGACCATCACACTGACGATCCTTCCTAGCTTTCCCAGGCACCACCCCCTCTTCGTCCTAAATTGGGGTCAACCATGGAGGAGAGCCTTGGTCCTTGCAATGACACGATCCATCGGAGCAGCAAAACCTTCCCCTGGTCGAAATTGGCCTCGGCCCCCGTGCCGTGGTGCACATGTGAGGATTTACATCGGATTTCTCTCTATATATAGAGGGTTACTCTTGCAGCTTCCATGACCACCAGCATCGATACATTCTTTAGATCGCTTGTCTCCTACAGCAATCGGACTTGAGCATTCGTTTAGCCTACACAGTCTAATATCTATTACTCTAATCCACCGTCGTTCTCATCGCCAAAATGAAGTTCACCAGTGTTCTCTTCACTCTCGGCCTGGCCACCAGTGTTTTCGCCAACCCTACTAAGGTTGTCCGTGAGCCCAGCCTCGTTGAGCGTGATGTCGCCGCAGTGACCAGCGTTCTTGCCGACATCGAGACCAAGGTCAAAGCGCTTGACTCTGCCATCAACAGCTACAGCGGTGGAGACCCCTCCAAGGTCGAGTCTGCCTCGAGCGACTTGGTCTCAACTATCAACTCGGGTACCAGCACTGTTACCGGCAGCGACGACCTTAGCTCCACTGATGCTCTTGAAATCCCTGGTCCTGTCCAGGACCTGACCAAGGACGTTCAGACTGCGGTCAACGACCTGATCTCGAAGAAGGACCAGTTCGTCTCGGCTGGTGCTGGTGCCACTGTCTACCAGCAGCTCCAGAAGCAGTACACTGCTGCCAAGAACCTGGCTGACGCCCTCACTTCCAAGGTTCCTGACTCCCTGTCTAGCCTTGCCAGCTCCCTGTCGGCTGGTATCACCGATGCCATCCAGAAGGGTGTCGATGAGTACAAGGATGTTGCCACTAGCTCTGGCACCGCTTCCAGTGCTACTTCCGCTGCCTCTTCCGCCAGTGACAAGACCGCCACCAGCGCTGCTTCTTCCGCCACTGAGAAGAGCGAGACCACCGCTGCCGCTGCGACCACGAGCGACTCTGCTACCACTGGTGCTCAAACCTCGTCTCCCGTGATCCCCACCTCCGCCAGCGCCTCTGCTACCCCCTCCAGCTCCAGCACCCCCTCTGCTTCCGCCAGCTCCACCCTCTTCACTGGCGCTGCCAACTCTGACCGCTTCAACTATGTCTTCGGCGGTGCTGCTGCCGCTGCTGCCGCCATTGCTGTTGCCTTGTAAGGGGCACCGTCGAAGATGGCCCGAGCCTGCAATGGATAAACGATTGTGAAGACCCAAGTGCAACGGTTATCGACAAGTGCGATCATGAAAAGATATGGGCTGGCCATGTATATCTATTCACCGTTGATTGATTTCAGCCCGGGATTGTGGCTTAATGTGTTTGGTTTTTGGTTTGGCTTAGTTTTTCCTGGATATCTAATTGGTTGACAAATGTAATATGGACTCAGTACAACTAAAGTACATTGATTTGTTTGAACAAGAAATTCCATGAACGTCTTGCCTTTCCTCGGCCCCTAGATCATTTTCTGAGCAGAGGAGCACATGCCCTTGTGGATCTTCTTCAGTGGTTGCTCAAATAGCGGATGATCAAATTTTGCTGCCCACCAGCCCAGCAAAAGCAACCTCCATGTCCGGAGTATCCACTGTGCCTCAAACACAGGATCAACCGTTGTATGGTTGCCTCTCGCCAGAAGCAGCAAGCTGCACTCCGATCAACCGCATAATGTCACCCATCAGTGCGGATCGCCATTCCAGCCCATCCCCTCGTGCATGCTCGGCTACCAGACGCGGGAAGTCTAAGCCGCACTGTAGCCCGACCGCTGCAGGAAGCTTTTTGCTTGCTTGCCCTCGCGCATCGTATTTTCGAGGGGAAAGTTAGCGGGTCCGTGCAAAGTAAACACCCATGGCATGAGGTACCAGAGGTAAATCACGAGTACATACAGTCCCCAAACAGATTCACCTGACTAAGGTAGCTCCTACGCCAGTATGTCTAACACAGCTATAAATTACAGATTAGGCGCCCTATGAAAAGCTTTACATTCATTCACACCACAACCTGCTAGGATGTACGGGAATGTAGGATACCGACATTGATGCAACCACATTGGGCAAACCCCGCGAGGGGAATCGCAAGTAGCAGCATGCTTGATTGAGGCCCGCTTGGATCTTGGTACTTTTGGAAGATAGCAAGGACACTCACCCCGCAGGGTTTTGGAAATAAACTCGCGAGGGGTGCTGGTTGTCGGTGCTGGGAGGTATATACCACTACCGAGTACCATTGAAGATTTGCTTCGAGGGTTGAGATGCTACCTACCTACATAATGGCAAGATGATCTCGTCTCCAAGAAGGATGGGTGGTCAGAGGAGGAGGAAGAAGAAGAAGAAGAAGAAAGGTAGGGAAGTGATGGGGCATTTAATATGGTGGCTGGCAGTGGCAGCTGGAGGGTAAGAACTAGTCGCTTTCTGGGAATAGTGTGAGGGGAAAGAGGGAGCGCAGGGAGCCATCCTTGGCATGCTCTGATCGGTTGTTGTTTGTGTGACAACTTGGAAGGTCATCGAGGGTTCCAGAAGGGCCATTCCACTGCTCCAGAGACATTCTGTTGTTCAAATATCTCAGCCGATAAATTAGGCCGTTACTGCTGCTACGCCAGCTTCGTCCCTGCGACAGCCCCAGCATACCGCGGACTCGTCGCGGAGAAGAACATGTTCCCCGCAACTGCCACCACCATCGCTCGCGCATAGACCAGCTGCGCCGCGGACAATAGTCCCGACTGTTCCAGACGGAGACACTCTGCGCTCATCCTATCTTCTACATCCCGAATCACTACTCTCAATACCCTCGCAGCTAGAGCGTCATCAAACTCATCCCCGCCCATGAGCCCACGCACTACCCTGACAGCATTAAGCACCACTTCCCCGGTCTCCGCTTCCGCCCGGACCTCCTTCGCATACGAATACAGATCGTTCGTGAGCAACAAATGCCTCGCGCACAACGCTTTCAACCGCTCTAACGCCCGAACATCCTCGATCGAAGTCCCGCACGCGAACCGGACGGTCTGTAGAATCAAGTCGGCCCCGAAATCCTCCAATCCATGCGAGAGATACTCCTCCAACGACCCGAACCTCTTCGGTCGTTCGCGCTGCGTAACTGATCCCCAGGATATAATCTCTTCGACCAGTCGCGCTCCCTCGTGGGGGTTCTCTGTTAGTACCTCCTTGGCTAGGATATCGTAGGCAAGGTAATCCGCTGTAGAGCCTTGATTGTGCGAGACTGCGCTGCGAGGGGGGATACTTAGAGCAGGGGTTGGCGTGTCGACTGCGTCGTCATGGAGGAAGAGGAGGACGTAGGTTTTAGCGAGGAGTTGGATCCTGGTGATGTTGCTTAGCGGGACGAGGTTGACGGTGTAGGATACCGCCGTGTCGATTAGTGTTCTTGTGCGGGCGGTATCGAGGGTCAGAGGGGTTGAGTGGGAGGTGCTGATGGTTTGCAGGTATGTAGTTGCTGCTGCTTCGGCTTGACGCCAGTGTTTGGACTGGAGAGCGATGGGGAGAGAGGTTGGCCATGGGACACGGTGGGAGGATGGGTGGATGGGGTTAGCATGCTGGCGCTCTTGAGTTCGTGCGAAGATCTCCGGTCGGATTATCGAGAAAGAAGTCGAGGTTGAGGACTGAGCTGGTGGTTTGGAGTTCGCAGGATCAAAGGCGTGCGAGATTGGACGGAGTGCTTGTGGTGATGGTGGTGGTGGTGGTGATGGTGTGGTGTCCAGGCTCTTCTCGGAGGACGTTTTTGTGTGCAGCTGTCTTCGAAACTGTGTGACGATGGCGCTTGCTTGGGTGCTTGTTGCGCGATGCTGTGATATTTGGGGTGTTGGGAAGAGAAGCAGTCTTGGGCTATCGGCATGTCGCGTCAAGCCTCGGAGAAGACGACGCGTCGCCATTGCGCGTTCTTGGGGGCCTTTTGGAGCCCAGAATAGTGTACCTGGTACCTGGTAAGCTTCCTCGGGATCTTCCAATAGCAATTGATAGCAATTGAAGGAAAGATAGCTTTGAAGGAACAATCACACTCCAAATCTGCTATCAAAAGTGATGGACTGTGGAACCGAAACAATGATGTCAGCTAGTAGCTCGAGTCGCGGAGTTCCTTTCCGGTTGTCTCCCACCCACTTCGGAACTCCGCGTCGCCGCTACAGCACTAACAACCATTGCCACGCAAAACCAACATGGCAGGCCCAAGGTCCTCCAAATCAAGCAGACGACGACATCCGCCTCCGCCTCCGCGGAAAAGGACCTGCAAAGGCTGTACCAAGTCCAAGATTCGTTGCGGTCTCGAAAGACCCACCTGTTCTCAATGCAAGTCTCGCGGGCGCAAGTGCGAATACTCCACGGATCCTGAAACTTCACACCTTACTACTCAGACCGAAGACTTAGAGAATCCGGATTTGACGAGTACAGCAGAGTTCCAATCCTCTGCACCGCTTGCTATGCCCATAGCTTTACCATCTTATCTTGTTTCTGACAGCAGCCCCGGAAGCGTTACGTCGATTCGAGAACGCAGGCATCGACCGGAGGGGTCAACGAGAGACCAGCAACTGCCTGTCGACTTCACCAAGATCGACCTAGTCCCTGCTTCTGCGGCGGAGAGTATCCGAGATCGCTGGCTTCGGCCATACATTCTCCCACCACCGGGGCGAGACGAGGTTCCGAAGGTGTATCATCCATTTACACTACAGTACATCTCTAGGATTCTGGCCACCTATCCTCGTTTCATGCTGAAGGACCGCAAAGTACCTCCTATCATTCATCCGTCACAAGTGTCTGGTGAAAATCTGCCACGGGCCTTGGCCAACTGCTACAGTCTCGTCCGCATGTGGGAGAATGCTGTTCCAGGGAGTGAAGGCATGGTCATCAACATGATCGAAATGGAGATGGAAAGGTTGTTCAACGAGGTATGCCTGCCGAGGTCTGTTCGTACGTAACGCAGATTAATCAGATCCGGATTCCAGCTTCCAAGTCAACACGACTATAGCCTTCTATCCACTTTTCAAGCTTACCTGATCTACTGCGTCATGTTATATTTCTCTCCGCGACCCGCTGCCCCAGCCGCTGTCACCGACAGAGTCATGATCACACTCATGGAACTGGCCTTCCGTACGGCTCGCAATGGCTTATTCTGTGTGGCCGAAGCATCCCATTCGCGACCTAACTGGGAGTCGTGGATAGTGGTAGCCTCGAAACGTCGTGCCATCTTTGCCATGTACCTCTTCAGCAGCGTATACAACGCCGACCAACTCTTGCCAAACTTCATAGCCGACGAAGTCGGGGGTGTTTTTGCTCCAGAGGGCAGATCGTTGTGGGAGGCGCCCGACCGGAAGACGTGGGAACGGGAGTATGACCGTCATTTGTTGACCTGGGAGGATGGGATGCTGGAAATCTCAGAGCTGTGGCGATCCGCGCGTACGGGAACAGTCGAGCAGAGAGAGAGGATCGAGAGGTGGCTGCAGGCTGTGGATGAGTTTGGGATGTTACTGTTCGGAGTCACCACACATATTCATGGGTGTTGATCTCGTGACGCACATCAACCGCTGACGGCCATACGGGGGCCCCGCCCCTGTCTCGGAACTCCGAGGATGATCCACCTTACTGATCAGCCACGACTGAGCACCTATATATTGCCATCGTAACCATTCTCACCCCAACCTACACACGTTTCTAAGGTCATTTGACTCAAGCTACAAAGCGCACACCTATCCTCAAGAATGACCTCCACCTACTCGACAAACCACACCCCCAGCGTGCTCCGCACTCACAACTGGCGCACCCTCGCCAACTCCGCGCCGTACCTCCTCCCCCACCTCGATCACCTCCAATCCACCACCACCAACCTCAAAATCCTGGACATCGGCTGCGGACCAGGCAGCATAACTATCGACCTAGCCCGCCGTCACCCAACCGCCCAGGTTACAGGCCTGGACTCCTTCACCGACCCACTCCCCACCGCGCGGCAGCTCGCCGCCGCCGAAGGTCTCACCAACGTCACCTTCGCCGTCGGCGACATCCACGCCCTGGACTTCCCCGACAACACCTTCGACCTCGTGCACGTCCACCAGGTCCTCCAGCACATCGCCGACCCCGTCCAGGCCCTGCGGGAGATGCGCCGCGTGGCCAAGCCCAACGGCGGGATCGTCGCCGCCCGCGAATCCAGCATCCACACCTGGTACCCTGCGAACCGCGGGATCGAGCTCTGGGACCGTCTGACCCGGGCACTGGCGCAGCGCAGCGGCGGGAACCCGCACCCCGGGGCGAGGATCCACGTGTGGGCGGAGGAGGCGGGCTTCGCGCAGATGCAGATCCGGAAGAGCACCGGCAGTTGGTGTTTCAGTTCGGCGGAGGAGCGCGAGTATTGGGGCGGCTCCATGGCGGAGCGGGCGCACAGCTCGGGGTTCGCGGACCGGGCGGTGGAGAGTGGGCTGGCGACGAGGGAGGAGCTGGCGGTGGTGGTGGACGGGTGGCGGGAGTTTGTGGCGTGTGAGCAGGGGTGGTATGGGATGCTGCATGGGGAGATTGTTTGTTTCAAGTGATTTTGTTGTATGTTGCTGGCTATGCCTGTCCTTGGCTTCGATGAATGGGTACAAGGGAGTGCATGCCACTTGTTCTGCAATGAGGATTTCTCAATCCTTCGTTCAGTATATAGAATTCAGTGATATACACTAGATGCATATACACTGCAGTCACACATAAATTTAACCAAGATCTCAAGTAATGGCATACTATGTATCCATCATCATCATCATCATCATCATCATCATCATCATCATCATCATCATCATCATCATCATCATCATCATCCCCAATGTAGCCAGTAACTACGGCTATTCAACCCAAGCACAACCCAGCTTCAAACACCATGTATGCACCATGTATGCAAATCCGATACCATCACCGACATCACAGAGCCAGATCATCGATCTGTGATGACCGTATCATTAGCTCATTGGCTATGAATACACATACCATAGGTAATGCATACAACATCCGATGTGGTGTTGCCGAAAGACTTCCCCTTTCTAAGCGGTATAGAGATCGGAAATATGACCCGTGACAAGTAAGAGATAAAAATCCGGAACGAGACATCTCAAGTGTTATGCTAATGGTAAGACAGAAAGCATGGATTCGAGTTGCGGTCAAAAACATGCTCATACACGAAAGCCGCAATAAGGCCTTCCCGGCGGGAGTGAGTATGTGCCAAGAAATCCCTGATTGAGCAAGGATTGTCCCCCCCCCCCCCAAAAACACCGGCCCCTCTACTCACAAGTATACGGTGTTAGATCGATCACCGGGATCAAGTCCCAGATCAACTAATAAGCTTAAAGTAACACGTCCAGTAAGCCAATGAAACTCTGGACGAAGCGGATGACCACATTGCTGCATCACCGCCTCTGATTCGATGTGACATCACCATTTGGCTCCGTCATCGCCGCGATACCAATTCTCAATTCTACTTATTGTACACCACAGCGTAGACTTACCTGGGCTTGGACCAATGCTTTTTTCTTAGACTATCTTCAAGCTCACACAATGCAGACTATCAAGAACACAATTGCCGAAAACTTCGGTGGGCCGTCCCACGAGCTCGCCGAGCACAAGTTTAGCTTAGAGGAGGTTCCCGACCTCAGTGATAAGGTAGCGGTTGTGACGGGCGGCAGTGAAGGTACAGCAAGCTCGATGGGCTCCTTCAACTCGCACTTCGAGAACAGAATCATGTACTAACCAAGATGGCCAGGCATCGGCTTCGGCTGCACCCACACCCTCCTATCCAAGAATATCGCCAAGCTGTTCGTCACATCGCTCCGCAAGGAGGTCGCCGACGATGCGCTCGCGGCCATAGAAGAGGAGTTCGGCCCGGCGAAGCGCAAGCGCTTCATCTGGCTGCAGTGCGACCTGTCGGACTGGGAGCAGACGGCGCACGTGGCGGGGGAGATCGCCGCGCAGACGGACCGGATCGACATCCTGATCAACAACGCGGGGCGGGGGATCATGAGCCGGCAGCTGGCGCCCACCAACGGGATCGACCAGCACATGGCGACGAACCACATGGGCCACGTCGTGCTGACATCGCACCTGCTGCCGACGTTGAAGAAGACGGCCGACGCCGGCCACACGGTCCGCATCGTCAACCTCTCCTCGAACGTGCACAGCAGCGCGCCCGCCGACACCGAGTTCGCCTCCGTCGAGGAGCTGAACCGCGAATACGACCCTAACGCCCTGTACGGCCGCAGCAAGCTGGCCAACCTCCTGCACGCCAAGTGGCTGAACCAGCACCTCAGATCCACGCACCCCAACATCATCGTCAACGCGACGCACCCGGGCGTGGTGGACACGGCGCAGACGAATGTCCATATTCACGAAGCGTTCCCGCTGCTGGGCTACGGCATGTCGCTCGGGCTGAAGCCCTTCCGCAAGACGCAGTTCCAGGGCGCCGTCTCGACCATGTACGCGGCCACCGTCGCGACGGAGGGCGGGCAGTTCATCTGTCCGCCGTGCATTGTGGAAAAGGGCAGCGACAAGGCGAATGACATGCAGCTGGCTGATCGATTGATGAAGTTGACGGCGGAGGTTGTCGAGAAGAAAACTCGATCGGAGAGTAGTGCGAAGGGATGTCCTTTCAAGGAGGATTAATTGTATGATGGTTGTAACGCTATATCGCAATTGGAATGACATTTTGGCGTATGAGGTCGATTGTCCACTTACCTATTTGTACAACGCGATAGGATAAGAATCCAGCTGCAGAAGGGGAAGTCATAGATCCCTTATTGAGGTGTATGCCGTTTACTGCATCTTGTTGGTGGGTGGTCGAACTAAGTCGAACTAGGGCCATGGCAGACGCGAGATTGCTGTTCTCAGTTGACTAGGACATGAAAGATAAACAGAAATGGATTGTTAAGGTACGATGTGGTATTATTGAGTTGGGAGGTAGTGTCGTGTGCTGTAGTAGTTGGGAAGTTTGCGATTAGCAGCCGGAGATAGCGTAGGCCGCCAGTCCACTGCAGCAACTCAAAACAACAATCACGAGTTCGAGCCTGAAGCTAGAACATAATGATAAGATTACCTATTGTGCCATATGAACTCACTCATTTCGGCCGGTCAACTAGCGCATACGAAACTCACAATGATAACAATAGACATATGCGAGGTCATCGCAGCACTTGCAGCTCAGTCTGCAACGCGCAGGAACACATCTCAACAATGCATTCGTCAGAGATAAGGCCTTGCATGTCTGGATCGGCACGAGGCCCCCGTCAATCTCGTCTGGTGAAGAAGCTGAGGAATGCAAGGTACTGATTTCCGTCCCCCCTGAAGAAATTGACTACGATTGGCATTCGAAAGAAAAATGCCGCATGCCATAGGACATCACAAGCAGGAAAGATTGGCACACCTACCAATATCTGTGCATGATTGTATGGATAAGCTTTGACCGTCTAGAAACTTTGAATTTGAGTTACGCAGTATCATCCACAGAAAGCTAAGCGACTGGCCTACATGAAACCAAAAAGGAAATCGACATACAAGGTGGCACATGGTGTCCTCGCCCCCCCCCCCCCCCTCATAAAGCCTGATTATTACTCCCTAGACCGAGCCAGCACCGTGACTGGAGACCAGTTGTAAATGATCTTCTCCTTTTGCTGCGTCGCAAGGCACTGAAGAGCAACCTCTTGCTCGGAAACTGACAACAGGATGTCCCCGGACAGTCCTCTTTTAATGCCCTGCGTCAACTCGCGCAGGGCTAGAATGTAGGTCCGGGTGCACAGGTCCATCAGAGGAGGGGCGAACCGGCCGTGGTCGGACTCGACGATCTCCAAATCCTCTTTACACATGCGATCGGGGAGCTCGGAGACCCAGCTAGAAGAACAAGTCAACACTGGTAGGCTTGTGGTTCTGGTAGGAGAACGCACATGTAGTTGAGGTTGACCCGCCGAAATAAGTCGCTCATCCGCGCAGCGGTCTCCTGCGCCACGTGACCCTCTGTGATCTGGTTGTGCAGGTCCGCGTCTTCCCACTGAATGTAGCCCCCTGGTTCTGTGTGTGGCGCGAATTAGCATGACATTTCGATGATTTGGGGTCAGCAGTGGGCCATTTCAGCTTACTTAGGAGTTGCTTGGCCCGGCGGATCAAGGTAGCTGTCTCGCCTTCGCGTACATTGCTCGCCCACATCCGCAGATGCACCACATCATATTGTCCCTCCCAGGAAGGTGATAGATCAGACATCAGGTCCATCACGCTGAACGTCATGTTCTTCGCCCACAGCCCAGAGGGCGGGTACTGTTGGTCACTACTGTCGAGGCCATGCAGTTGCACGGTGGGCGGCAGCTGTCTCGACAGGTCAAGGAGCCAGATTCTGTGCATATTGTGAGTAGAGGATTCAGATTGAGCAATTCGTCATGTCACAAACCCTGTGCCGCAGCCAAGGTCGGCAATCTTCATGTCATTGCGGACTGGAATCTCAGGATGTAGCTCGTATCCCTTGTGAAATTTCCACAGAAGATGCTGAGCATCCAATCTGTAGTATATTCAGCACCCGTCAAGTCTGTGTAACCTTCATCGCAAGAGTATAATAAGTAGAGAGACATCTAAGTGGTTACCTAACGGAGTCCGTGATGCTCCTTCCGAGGATATAATCGTTCGCCGGAATCATGGCGCTCCCCATTGCCGCTTAGGTTGATCTGGTGAATTAATCTAGATAGTTTGAAAGATCGAACGTATTGAGGTTGATACGTGATGGTCCAGATCCTCAGGCCAGGTTCGTTGAGACTTTTATAGTTCTTTCTCGGTGATTCAGGTTTGGGGATTATCTACATCGGAATATAGTCTGCGAACTGTGTTACTGCAAATCGACTGACACGGAATCGAATGAGATCATGAACTAGCCGGTCTGTAATTTCCGTTACCCGTGACACTACCGAGACATAGAAGTCGAAAGCCATATTGAGCGTATTCTTCTGGCGAATCCAATGATGGTTTGACATGGAATGATGCTACTATTCGCATCCGCTCGGAAAGCAGGAATGAGATCTTCAGGATCAGATCTTTCTGTTTAGAACGAATAGAACAGATGCGAAAAATCCGAGCAAGCAATAGTAGATCTGCAGATGAGATCCCCGTATTTGATGACGTCTTCGGCTTGCGATGGAGTCACTCCTTCCTCTGCTGACAGGGAGTGTCGCTGCTCGCACATTCCGACGCCGGGATCCTGGCATGTTCGCACAAAGTCAATGTTGATAGTGCAGCCGTTCTAGCAGTAATAGTTTGAGCAGAAGCCACTTTCTGGCTCTGCCACTGCTGTCCATGTCTGATCGTGGTTGGATAACTGGTCTTGTGCGAAACCACCTTAGTCCGGAAGGCAACGGAACAGGCAAATGAGAAGTCGCCCGTTACTTGTTGCTAGTACATCGCCCTCGAGAACGGCGATGGTCAAACACTCGCTGCAATTGCTTGATTGCTGGGGTGTGTACTTCTGTACACGGCTGACCTCTCACGAACGCAAGACTGTACGTAACAATCCCCGAGATGAGCTCACATTGTGGTTTCCCAGAGCCAAACCTGTTTATCGGAGCTCGGGATTATTCTGCTTAATGTCTCAGTACGTTGCTCTTGCATTACCTCAAGTACGTGAGAGATTGATGCGACTCGATAATCCAAATACTGCGATCTTCAAAAGTCCCATGGCCATGGCTCTGCGTTACACAGAGATTGGCTTGGTCACAGTCGAGGTTACACATCATCTCGCATGCTCGCCTGAATCTGCAGGCGGAGATGATGTCTGATCGGCGAGTCCGATGCTGCTGCAGAACAAGTATGGCTAGCTTGATATGATGCAATAAAAATAATATAAATATGAGACGCAGCGAATCATGCTAATGATCGGCCGTACTTTGCTTTTTCTCATATCAGTTATATCGACCAATCATCGCAACAAGCACATCCAATGCAATGTGATATCAGACCGAATTAGCCACTCTGCCATGTGAGTACGCCGATCTGTGCATTCTTCAGCTGAGCCTAGACCAGCGGGTCAATTACCTGCAGCTTTCCAATGAACCACAGGACTCATTCATTGAACAGGGCCTATTGAATAGAGTGAGTGTGAGGACGAAGTGCTCATGAAATCTATAAATTTCTTCCAGCGGTGAGTACCAAAGGACCTATGATGCTGCAAACGTCCCCCGCACAATACTGACCTAAATTGAGAGCTTTGCTACCGATTTCCAAACCACTTGTCTGTATCCTTCTGAATAGTGTCTTTGGTGCATACCAGAAAACATGAGCTTCAGCCGCACTGCCATAACTCTTACTCCGGGAAAGCCCGACGCTCTCGAAAGAGTGGTTGAAATATTGCGAGCCCACAAGAGTGATGACTATTATGCATATGAGCGAGAGGGCAAATGGCACCTGGGCATCGGCAGTCACTCGTCACTCGTAGTTGACGCTAAGGGGGAGACGGCGACAGTCTCCGCCGGTCCTCACAGAGAATCGCACCCAATCACCAGCCCGTTGGCGGATGTCGCAAGAGACCTTGTGTCGAAGCACGCCAATGACGCCCGCAAGGTATTCGGATATGTCGGGTTCAACTACGCGGCACATGCGCGCGGCATTCCATTTACGGCCGGTCGATGGCCGCTTGTGAGCTTGATGGTTCCACGCATCGAGATATCGTTCTCGCCGGACAAGGTTATTCTGACGGGGAATGACAACGAGGAAGTAAAAGGATTGGCTGAGCTGATAAACCGTGCCACCCGCATTGATCCTATACCGAATCAAAGTATCAACACGCAAGACTCTGCGGGCGAGTACCTGGCTCGCGTCCAAACCGCGCTGGCGGAGATCGTTGAAGGGAAGTATACGAAGGTCATCCCTTCACGAGCCGTGGAAATCGCCGGGCGAGTGGACATGCCGGCTACCCTGTTGTGTGGTCGACGCTGCAATGCACCCGCACGGAGCTTTTCCCTGAGCCACGGGGGCTACCAAGCAACCGGTTTCAGTCCCGAGCTCGTGATGTCAGTGAAAAAGGGAAAAGTGACCACTGAGCCGCTGGCTGGAACGCGATCGCGCAAGGGCAAAGACACTGAGGTTGAGCGCTTGAGGCAGGAATTGCTTAACGATTCCAAGGAGATTGTGGAGCATGTAATCTCCGTCCGAGAAGCGATCGACGAGCTGAAGCGACTCTGTCCAGAGGATACAGTCAGTGTTGAGGACCTGATGTCAGTCCGGCCTCGAGGCAGTGTCCAGCATCTCGGGTCTACTGTGACTGGCTTCTTGAAGCCGGAAAAAGACCCCTGGGACGCCCTCGACGTCCTCTTTCCTTCTATCACTGCATCTGGAATACCGAAACAGGCGGCGTTGGAGGGCATTCAGCGCCTCGAACATCGTCCTAGGGAGTTGTACTCGGGTGCCGTTCTGATGATCGAAGGCAACAAGACCCTGGAGGCAGCTCTTGTTCTCCGAACTGTCTTCCAGGATCAGAGTTGTCAGTGGGTGCAGGCTGGTGCTGGTGTCATCGCGCAATCGACCCCTGCGCGTGAACTCACTGAGACTCAAGAAAAGCTGGCGAGCATAGCTCCGTTTGTGGTTAGCGAGATTGAGAAATAAGAGGAGAGTGGTAGATGGAAGATCATAGCATGTGACCTGAGGCCGACCGCTCGACTGCATACAAACAGAACTGTACATTCCAGAGCGCCGGAAATGATGAAATCTGCTGCATGGTGGGAATCTTACATACGTCAATCTACACATATACAGTCTGCTGTCCTCTGCTACCAGACTGAACATCCGCGTGATCAAGCCACTTACTTGAATAATGCATCCCAAGGCAATGACATAATTAAGCCACTCCGACCGAGTCATGTACAGGATATACGTACATGTCTAGACTAAGGCATCAGTAAGGAATTAGCCTATATAAAGTACAGTAATCGGTATGCTCTTTCACGGGGTCCTCAAAGGCAAGCACCAGGCCAGTCCACGACGGCACGAAACCCTTCTTTGGCAATCTACAGCGAGAAAACCAACACCTCACATTTTCACCTCCATCATCATTAGAATGCCAACGCTTCCCGCCCTTGCCCTCACCCTCGCCTACACGGTATCCAGCTACCTAGCCCTCCGATGCCTCCAATCACCTGCACCCGAACCCGAACCTTCCGAGAACGACACATCCAAAGACCGCGTCGCCACCGTCATCGACCCCCTCTTCCTCCTCATGAAGCCCGTCATCCCACTGAGCTTCCTCTACCTAGCGCTGCTAACCCTCCTGCACGACGACCCGCCAACCTCGCCGTGGATGACCGCCGTCTGCCCATCCCCAACCAACCCACCTACCGAGTCCCTCACCTGGACGCCGTCCACAGCCACAAGTCTGCTCCTGTTCTACATCGGCGCATGGACACGACTGGCCGCCTACCGCGCCCTGGGCGGGGACTTCACCTTCCACCTCGCCAAGCCGACCGAGGGACTGGTGACCGACGGGGTGTACCGGTACGTCCAGCATCCCAGCTACACGGGCGGGTTGCTCATGGTCGTGGGGTATGTGCGGCTGGCGGTGGAGGAGTTTGTCCCGGCGATAGGGGCATGCTGGTCGGTGTCCGAGACGTCCAGTCTGGGTAATCTCGTGTTTCATGCCTGGGGCCGGGTCGTGCTGCTGCTGCTGGCGACGGGGGTCTTTCTGGGGATCACCTATTTCAGGTTCCAGGATGAGGAGAGGATGCTGAACCGGGACTTTGGGGTCGAGTGGGAGCGGTGGCATCGTCGGACGGCTCGCTTGATTCCGTTTGTGTGGTGAGGAAGGGTGGATCTGAAGGTTGGGCTGGGTCGAATGCGCTACTGTAGATGTGTGAGTAGTTCCTGTTCTTCTCAAGTCTTGATTTGGGGTTTGGTAGACAGCGTTTTCTTTCTTTTTCTTTGGATTGGACTTAAACATTCTATTGCAGGATTAGGTTAGGTCTGGTTCGATGTGGTTCCTTCGCACTATGCAAACCATACCAGCCTAAGTACCATAGGTCTTTGATAAGAAAAACAAAAGAAGAAGGTTGGTTGCATTAAATACAGATAAACTTCCCGAAAAACGTATCGCTCAATCTAAACTCAAAACCGCGGGGATCTAGGGGAAGAGAAAGGAGGTTCAGCCTACCACTACCAGTCATCGGGCTCGTAGGCAGGCTCCTCATCACGCTCGACGTCACGCTCGATGTATACTTCGCGCTCGTGGTAAATCTCACGCTGGGGGGAGCCTTCGCGCTCTTCACGCTCCTCGTCGCTCGAGCTCGAGTGCTCCTCTGTTCGGAATTAGTTAGCAAGGTATAACCACAACGCAAAACGATGGTCGACCTGAGAGGAAGTATGACTTACCCAGTTCGTGGTTGATGAGAGCACCGGCGGCAACACCGAGAGCCAGGCCGCCAGCAGCACCAAGCATCATCTTCTTGCGCTCGTTCTTCTTCTGCTCTTCGGGGTCGACGTATTCACCGCCCTGCTGAGGTGGGTAGTATCCACCCTGCTGGGGAGGGGGGTAGTATCCGCCCTCCGGCGGAGGGGGAGCGGGTGAAGAAGCACCGTAGTATCCGCCCGGAGGTCCGGCAGGAGCCAGATCACGGGAGCCGTCGGAGTCGCCTAGAGGAGGCTCCCACTGGGAGCGGCCGGTAGCGACTTCGACGAAGAAAGCACGGCGGGCGCTAGGCTCCCATTCCTGGGTCCAGCCCATGGGAAGAGGAGGGGGAGGAACCGGGGGAGGCCGGAAGGAGGAAGGGGGGCTGGCGTATGGAGGGCGAGAGTCGTAGGAGCGGTCGGCGCCTTCGTAGGGAGGACGCTCTGGAGGGGGACCACCCTGGTAGGGAGGTCTCTCGTAGGGGGAGCCTTGGTAGGGAGGTCTGTCGGAAGGCGGGCGATCATAGGGAGGTCTGTCATATGGGGGGCGCTCGTAGGGAGGTCTGTCAGCGGGAGGGGCGTCGTAGGGGGGACGCTCATAAGGAGGGCGCTCCTGGTAGTAAGGCTGTCCTCCGTAGTAAGACATTGTGGTTGATTCTGCACTCGTGGTGACGATTAGAGCAACAGAGAGGGAAGTGGGTGGGAGAGGAAGAAGATTCAGATGGGAAGAGAGAATGAAACAGAAGTCAAGAGGACAGAAAAGCACCAGAAGACCCTTAAATAGTCTCTTGTGATGGTCCCTGTCAGCTGGAGAGGGGAGGGGTGGGCGGATGGAGTCAGGTCACAGATGCAGCATCCACTCTGCCATCGCTATCAGGGATAATAACAGTCCTCAGGGACTCATGGCAGCCAACGAATGACCTAGGCAAGCGCTAAAAGTAGAGTGTATCCACCGCGTTATTTGTTGAGATGGAGAAAGTGCCAACCCATAGTCCGGTTTCATTGTTGATTGTAGATCTGAAGTTGTGACAATGCAGAGGATTTAGGCAGATACGTAACACAAGCGCCCCTGATGGGTGTGGGACCCGATGGGCAAGCAGTTGGCCTCATGATAATAATGCTGGAATGCAATGGAATTCTGCTCTTGATGCCATAAGGCCAGCTCGACAGCTTTCTTTCTTGGGGAAGGATGATGAGGAGAAATTGCGGGGCAAGTTTTCGTTTATCCCTGTAGGGAGAAGAGATGGAGGGGCAAAGGCAGCCTTAACCTTGTCAGGCACATAGCTAGGGACAAGTCGATCATGGAATGATGGGTGTCTTCCTGAAATTCTTGAAAAGTCAACTGAGCAACAGACATGACGACAATCGATTGGATTGCAGTCTTCAACTCGTATGAGCTACCAGTCGGGGCAGAGCTGTCAATATCCGGACTAATGAACAGAGGGCGACTGGGGAAATGAATGACTTGTCCAAGCGATGCCGCAGCAATTCGTCTCCTTTTTCGGTTCTTGGCGCCACATTGGGGGCTGGTGTGAGAACCATCCAATCAAAAGTGGCCTGCTGCTGCATCAGCCACAAAGGACCCCCGCTGTTTATTCACTGGCGAATGAACACGCAACTGAATCAACTGAATCAACTGAATCAACTGAATCCGCCCGCGGTGTCCGGTGAACACTGGCAGACAGAACCCTTCCTCGGCTTGGCGGGTCCTTGGCCTTCCAGAAATTACTAAACTAAGCTGTGGGCCATGGTTGAGTGCCGCCCTCCAAAAGACGTCCATGCTAATTTGGGATCCTGGCAACTGGAAAAGAAGTCCAGTTGCAGTTGCACGCTTTCTACTCATCCAGAATTAAGATCTACATTACTTATCAGCAGCTCATGGCAGCATCGCACAGAGGAAATCTTCTCCTCCTGGGAGACCGGATAAATTCAAAGAGAGGGAAGAAATTATCATCCTATCTGTAACAGTAGTCTCTGAGCGAGCAATCCGTACGCCGTGCCAAGACTTTACTCGGAGCCCCTGAGCGATTCGCCACGTGTGCCTCAATGAGTGGCTGTGTCTCCGCGGCGAAAGGCACCGCTCAGCCACAGCCCGGGCAGTCCCAAGCGCCTTTCCTCTTTCAATCTTCCGTTCGCCGAGGGGCTACGGATCCGTTCGGAGCATCTCACTACGGGCTAGGGCCCTTCTGCTGGATGGAACATAGTGAGTGCACTTTCAGATAACCAATACACCTATAACACAGGATTTTCAGATGTCCTGCCTCGGAGAGAATTCGAGAAAATCGATTGATCCAAAATACCAGTCATATAGCGGAGTAACTCTGCCAAGTAGGACACCCAGGCAACAATATTTACAGTCTCGACCATAAGTCATATGCCACAAAACTCCTCGAATCCTGGTTAATCCATTCCTCCGCTCAAATTCAAATTCCACCTCAATCCAAATAGAAACTAATCATAAATTCCATTTGCCGAAGATTGGAGTCCACAGTCTGCATCTGACACAATGTCCAGACGTGTCAGGCTCATGATACTGACGGCTTCTGCCGTCAATATCAATATTAAGAACGATTATGCGCTGCCGGCGAAGTTGCTGGATTCTCCACTTCCGGGGTAAAAGAAGGCAGCGACACTACAAGTCTCGTTAGAACTGTGTTCAATAGAATATGGCGGGGAAGACCAATACAACATACCCAATAATAACATAGGCTGCGATGAGCAGAGACCCCTCCAAGTAGTTACTTCTGCCGTCCAGGACAAGAAAGTTCACGACGAAGGCCGTCACGAAGAGGGATATGGTCTCGAATAAAGTAAAGTACAAAGACATGTCTTTGTCCATGCACCACCCGAGGATAACCACCAAGGGAGTGACGAAGATAGCTGCTGAAGGTCAGCTCAGGTTCTAGAAAGCCCAAGAGTCGAATAGTACATACCAATTTGGATACTGCTACCAACCGACACACCAATAGCAAGATCCATCTTGTTCTTAGTAGCCACACTCACGGCCGTCACGTGTTCGGCGGCGTTACCGACAATAGGCAGGATGATCAGACCGATGAAAGCCTCGCTGACAGACGAGCTTTGAATCATGTTGGGGATGGCATCAACCAAGAATTCTGCACAGACTGCAACAAGTGCTGTTGAGACGAGGAGCATGACCACCGCGGAGGTGCGAGACATATCTGGCTCGGGGTGTTCAGGAGTGTCTTCGACAGTGGCCGCGCTGACCACAGTAGGCATGCGAGATGCTCCACGAGCAAACTGTACAGCACTTCCCACGGGTGGGGGACGATTGGAGAAAGAAGGAAGCGAGTGTGTACGGCGGAGTCCAGATGCACTGGTGAGATTCGTTGGTTGTGCAATGCCCGGAGCGGTAGAGAACACTGTGTTGGAGAGCAATGAGGGAATGGTAGGCCTAAATGGCGATCGCCTCTTAGGCACTTCGGGGATTTCCTCGACGGGAATTTGTAAATCGCCATGATCAACAGCAGGTTCCGATTGATAAGACTTCATGGGTGGCCGTCCGTTCATAGCTGTGTTGGTGGCGCCCTCGGCGTTTTCTGTACGCTTCTCCCGCTTTTTCCTCTCCTGCTTCTTGGCCTTTTTCTCCTGCTTCGAGGCCTTCGGGGCAGCTCCGAAGTCCCGCGACTGCGGTTCGTAGTCTCTCGAGTGTGGCTCGTGATCCGCATCGTAGCGAGTATCGTCGCCAAAATCAATAACAAAAGACCCCGAACCCTCTGCATGGCTAGTGGTACTGTTCAAGTCGCCAGAGCCGTGGGCCTCATCAATGACCGCCGACGATGGCAATTCCACCAGCGACTTCTTACGGAACGATTGCGGAGATACTGTTCCACGTGAGCTCGTGCTTGATTTTCGGTGGCGTCTGTGTTTCATGGCCCTCTTGATTCGTTTGGCGGTAGACCAGGACGTTGTGGTGTCAACCGACTCGTCGGAAGAACTGCTTGAATCTGACGAGCTGTTCATAAACTCGGCCAGCACACCTGGGTGGGATTCTTCGTCGATGATTTGCTGAGGGGTACTGGCGTACAGATAGGCATGCGACTTAAGCTGGAAAACGATGTACAAGGCGTACACAAGAAGCAACACCTGTTATTTGAGACAATTAGTGTTTGATGCACTTCACATCGTAATACTGAAAGAGCTTACCACACTAGTTCCTCGGCTAACTTTGAGGGTGTATTTGTCGGCATTCGAGCTATCTGACCAAGAAGCATGGAAGGCCGTCTGATGACTGTGTTAGTTCTGCACCCTCAGACGTGTCAAGTCATCACTCACAGGTAATAACAAGCTCATGACGCTCAAGCTAAGAAGACAAGCACTCATTTGAGTGACCGTACTGTTGTAGATCTAGATAACTTCAGTGCACAACTCAGAAGCACAAACGAGAATTGCTTACCTGTTCCTGGAAACGCAAGCCTCCCAACAGAAAGGCCATACCCAGAATCAACAGTAAATTTGCCAGAATGGATCCCAAGAGGGATGCTTGCACAATTCGAATCTCATTCTTGACAAGTGCAATGATGAAAATGATCAACTCCACTGCATTTCCAAAAGTGACATTGATCAGTGCACCGACGGTATCACCTAGGCGGCTGGCAACACACTCAGTGGCGTGACTAAGGAGACCAGCCAAGGGAATGACAGCGATCGCGTTCATGGCGAAGATCAAGCCCGAGTTCAACCCGGCCGCCTGGACGGCGATACCGGCGGGCACGAAGATGAGCAGCACATTGACCCAACTGTGGCAAAGAGCCGTCTTGGTGTGGCTGCTAAAGCGGACCATGCCATCCTTCATGCGAGTAAAGACTCCGGGCTTGGTGGTCTCGTTTGTATTCTTTTCTGACTCCGGGCTAGCCG